CTCTTTTGTCCTTCATCCTACAGATACGTGTAAATTTTGATTATATTAGCCGAGTATTTTTTTTCGTTCGCCTCCACATAATGGCTGTTGCAGTTTTCCATTGACATGGAGTGGTACTAGGTACTACAGTCGTTATTTTGCATTACATTAGAATTTTACACCGATAGTTTAAGTTTTTGCTAAAATTTTGTTTCAGGTGGTCTCTGCCATTTTTTTTTAGCTTTGTAAAAAAATTTTCCTGTTGCAGCATGAGCAGAAGATAGTACATCGCGATATCAAAGGCGACAACGTGCTTGTCAATACCTACAGTGGTGTGTGCAAAATATCTGATTTTGGGACCTGTAAGCGCTTGGCGGGTTTGAATCCGGTCACCGAAACATTTGCCGGCACGCTGCAATATATGGCACCGGAAGTGCGTGCTGTTCCTTTGAATTGTTTAGCCTCAGTTTTAGTTATTTCGGAATTTCCAGTGACTTTTGGCTTCCTCAGGTCATTGATCACGGACAGAGAGGATACGGCGCCCCGGCAGATATTTGGAGTTTTGGTTGTACGATGGTTGAAATGGCTACCGGACGTCCACCGTTCGTGGAGCTCGGTTCGCCACAGGCAGCAATGTTCAAAGTTGGCATGTTCAAAACTCATCCACCGATACCGGAGGGTCTCAGTGAGCGATGCCGGCGATTCATCTTAAGGTGCCCTCCAATTTCATTGCTTATCGCAAATAATCTTTTACTTTGCACATTTCCGGATCTCGCGCCTTTAAAGGCCAGTTTTGGCAAGGACTCCAGACTTTGCTTCATATAAGTTAGTAGTATGGAGCGGAGGGAGAGAGGGGAGTGGGGGTGGGGGAGAAAGGAGGATTAGGGGGGGAATTATTGTTCCTTGTAAAAAGTCTGTATGTCTTCGCCTTACCAAGCTTGACATAACGAAGTGAAAACCTGACATCTTCCAGCACTTCTGTTAGTTCTTTGATGGTTGGCGGCTAAACGAAGTAGATGACAGGCTGATTCAGGAGCGTTTGGGGGAAACCGCTGGACACCAATTTGAGTACATTTATTTTATTTGTATGCCTTGACTTTTATTTTTTTTCAGATGCTTTGAAGCGAATCCACAAAAACGCGCCACAGCAGCTGAGTTGCTTGCCGATCCTTTCATTCAGCAGTATATACCACACTCGTATGTTGTTCGGCTTTGAGTTTTTGTTGCGAAACGAGAATCGCCTTTGTTTTCCATTTAAAATTTCCTTCTATTTTTTTCAGAAATCGAAGTGGCAGTGCAAATAAGAAACATTTCGAGACTTGGAAACATAACAGAGGTAAGTTCGCGTATTTCTGCTTCATTTAGCATTGGCTAATCTACACCGTTATAAT